TGGGCCATGTGTGTCCCAAGTGTCACGCAGCAGCAGCCCCCACAGTAAAAAGAGCAATAGAGCAACAACAACAACAACAGTAACAGCAGCTAGAGCATCAACCTAGTTTTTGGCTTAAGATATTGAGTAACACGTTGCGAAGCCTGACCACATAGAACCAACTGTTGTTGGCTGCGGGGAAATATCTATATTGAAGGGAAATTAATTAAAGTCATTAATGGGCATATTGCTCTTAAAGGCCTAACCCAGCTCTTAAAAATCTACACACAAAGAAAGGCTTTATTTAGTATGTGAAACAAAAACATTTTATGGGGAAGTTACAGCGCTTACATTTACATACACACACAGCTCACAAACAGACATTAGATCAGCGACTAAGTAGAACAACGATAAAAAAAAATATAGTAACAATGGGTTGCGATCGTTCGTGGTAGAGCTCCACCATAAAAACAACAACTCAAAAGTAGAAAAAAAATTAAACAGACTGCAAAAAAAATCAACATCAACAGCAACAACAACAAAACCAACCGACAACACGCAATAGGGCAAGGCAAACAACAACAGCACTAGCGGCAGAGCGGTAGCGACGTCGGCAGAGAGCTGAGCTGAGCCAGCAACAGGAATTTACGATTCAGTGGCTACCTTGTTGTTGTTGTACGTCTGTGTGTACATATATATAAACACACACACACAGACACACACTTGATCATGCAGTTCGCTGTATTTGTTGCTATTTCACCTGGGTTGGGGCGCTGCGTGTTTGTGTGCATGGATCTTCACCTAGGTGTGCCTGTATGCGAGAGAGAGCCTATTAGGCAAAGCACTCGCTTCCGTTGTAAGAGCATTAGGCAAGGGCAGCGGCGGGTTCCGTTACGCCTAAAGAGTGTAGAATCGACAAAAACAATAGCAACAACAGCCAGCAGCAGCCGCAGCCGCAGAACGTATGTACATATGTATGTATGTATGTAGGTGTGTAGGATAAGCTTAGAGAAAGAGAGAGGTAAAACATTTGGCAGCCTGAAAATTGCTAGCCGCAAATAAGAAAAATATATGTAAGTACAAATAAAATAGAACAAAAACAATCCAATTGCGCAGCGCTTATAGGATTCCAATTTGAAAATTCGTCATTCGCCTGTACGCTTCACTTGTAGAATTTACAGTTGCTTACGTAATGCCGCACCAACACCAGCGCCTACACACAAACGCTCCTTCAAATGCACACACACATGCACACTAACACAAAGACAATTAAATTTGTTGTTGTATGAGGCCTGCGTCGCTGGCTCAAGTTTCCACATGTTTTCCAATTGCCGCAAAAGCCAAGCCAAGCCAACCACACATACACACTCACACACTGTTGGAAAAACCAAAGGCAATGGCAGCGACTGCAGCCCAACCCCAGAGCAGCCCGACAGCCGCCCAACCCAAGTGCCGCCTATTGCCCTTACATTTACAGCCACACAGAGTGAGCGAGAGAGAGTAAGAGCGAGAGCGGGAGAGGTAGAGCGACATAAGCGGCTGCTGCGGTGCGGCACCCAATGTTGTTTCTAGCTTTTTCTTTTCCATCATGTTTTTCGTTATAACCCCGTTTCGTCAACGTTGTTGGCACGTCCGTTCGTCCGTCCCCACCTCCTCTTCCTCCTTCTCGTCTTCCCCCTCTCGCAGGCCCCATCGCGTGCAAGGGAAATTAAAAATTCAAAAAGTCAAAGGCGCAAGCAGCGAATCGACGTCCGACTGCGCGAGCGACCGAGCGAGCGAGCGAAAACAACACGAGTGTAGAGTTATAGACAGCAAGAGCACAAGAGAGCGTCGTTTTGGAGACTTGGGGATTCGGCCATCAACTGTTCGTTCCTTTTGTGAGAGCGTAACGTTGACTGCGCCGCTAGCTGCGCAGCTGGCGCACATCAATGACTGCGGCCGACGGATGTAGGATTGCTGTCCAAGTGTGTGTGCGTGTATCTCTGTGTGCGTGCGTGTGTGTAGCAAGAAGCTAATAAGCAGGCACGTAGACGAAGAAGAAGAAGCAACAGCAACGGCGGCGACAGCAGCAGAGGCCTCGGCCGTCGCTTGGCTCGTCGTTTAGGAGCCGAGGATCGTTCAGTCAGTGTATTGGTGTCAAGCGAGACGGACGAATTTGGCGGCAAAGAGGTTTTTCATTGCGTTTCGTTCGTTCGTTCGTTCGGTCGACGCGCCCCCTCTCCCACTCTATCTATCTCACTCGCACTGGATTGTGAAAATTTCCATTTGAAAAATTCGGGCAACGACAAGAAAAACAAGCGATTGTTGCAAAGTTAAAATTAAACAAAAAAACGTGCAAAAACAAAAAGTAAAAGTTAAGCAAAAGGAAAAACAGCAGGCGTCAGCAGTTAACGGGAAACAGCAAAGAAAGGTGCATATAAGAAAATAAGAAATAATTGTGAAACATGTGAAAATGATTTTGCCAACCGCCCCCCATTGAAATTGTTTCAAAAGTCGCGCATGTCCCAAAAATGCCTGAAAATACTCATGCATGCATATGCATGAGTCTATGTATGCGTAAATAAATGTTGTCATGATTGTGCATGTGTGTGTTGCTGCTGCCATTGCAAGGGGGTGTAAAAATAAGCGCATGTAAAGTGATCTCCGCAGGCCCGCCTCCCACCCCTTAGCAAACGAACGCTTATCATGGTCCCTATTCGTGTGCGCCTGCGTGTGTGTGTGTCCGTGTGTTTTTGTGTGCCTGATTGTATGCGAGTGTGAGTGTAACTGTGTGTGCGTGCGTGCGTGTCGGGGCTGCGCAGTCGGCTTCCTGCGCGAGGACTTTGACTTGTTCACTTTATTCGTTTTGACTTGCTCATTCGCTCGTGAGGCCTGCTCAAGTGAGGACGTGTCAGCGGCAAACATAACTTAAAATCTATCTCGGTTAAACAAACTAAATAAATACCATTGTGCATACAGTAAGCAGTTCGATTGTTTTGGTTCTTTATAAATATTACAACAAATCAACAAAATTTATAAATAATAATAAAAAAAAAGAAGAACTATGCAAGTATGTGGTGAGCGCACAAACAAAAACTATTTATTAATGCCACTGCGCTAGATCAGCAAAGCAAAAATTTTTTACTGCTGCAAAAGCTGCTATTGGAACTTTAAAAGCTCTCTGCCGACGTTCGCTTGTGTGCTCATGTGTCTCAAAGAGAGCGGCAATATATTTATGTAGAAATATGCGGCAAGTGTCCAATGCTTGCTCTTGCGCTCTCTGAGAGTAGATTTCGGTTTGAGTGACGTACGGCCCATTCAATTAATTTCGACAAGTGCACTACGAAACAATAACAATTACTACGAATATTGCACTAACAAAAAACGAAATATAAAAAGTAAAAGAGCAAGAGGCAAAGCATAAACAAAATCGAAAAACGAAAGGCATGTGTGTAATAATTAGACAGCAAGTGAAATTGTAAAATTAATGATTTTAAATTAAGTGTACAAAGCAGAGTCGTGCGATAAGATAAGAGCGAGCGTTGGCAAACATAAGCAACAAGTGCAAGAGGGAAGGAAGGCAGCTAGACGATGTGTGTGTGTGTGTGTGTGTGTGAGCATGCTAAGGAGTTTCAACGATAGCACAGAAAAAAGAAGAAAAAAAGGCAAAATGAATCAAGTGATAAGTGCCATGAACAATATTTGTCAATGTGTGAGAGTGTGTGCGTGTTCTCCATATATACTTGGATATGCTGGATCTGGAGCGTTCTACCAAGATTTTCTTATGCCCGTTTCGAACTACTCGAAAATTTAATGACTTTTGCTGCTGTGTAAACTTTTGCTCATTCTCCTTTACACAATTTACGTGCCTGCTGCTAAAGCTGTGTACGTGTACGTGTGCTTATTTGACTGTGTTTGTGTGTGTGTGTTTCTCTGCTGTGTTCGTTTTAATTTGCTTCTCTAAGCTTCCACACCCTTTGGCAAGTTTTCAAGTCTACATACAATCTCACTGACACACAAACACGAAAATATGTACATGCACGCGCCGTCTATAACAGTTGTTGTCCCACACGAGCCAAATAGCCTAAATAAAAATAATTATCAAAATCTAGAATGCAAATATCCTTGAAGAATAGTGTAGCAGAGCAATAAGTAAATAAAATTATTTTTTTTTGGTTGGATATAAAAATTATAAATATAATGTAAATGTAGTTTTAAACAAATGCTTTTTACAAAATGGTCACTATACTGAAAATACGGAAAAGTATGTTATAGTAGAATTTAAATTGTGGGGAAAGGTTGTTATATACTATTTCCCCTGTGTATGCATGTGAATTTCCCTGTGCCTTTTGCATGCACGTCTGTTCTACTGGGTTGAGTTGACAGGCAAAGCGAGTCGCAGACATAAAACACACACACGCAGACACAGAGAGGCTCTCGCTCCGCGATGTGATCGGTGCGTGCGTGTATATGTGTACAACTGTGTGGGTGTGTTATTGTTGCTGTTGTCGTCGCGGTTGTTCTTATTGTTATTGTTGTAATTTGCCCATTTGAAACATTTGAAATTTCCATTTAGATTTCCTCATTTAGCTTTTTTTCCTGCCTGCCGGCCTGCTTGCTTGCCTGCTTTACAGTCGCACTGCCTGCATAATATTCGGACCTTTGCTGTCTATTTGACCTGGCGGGTCGTCTGTTAAATTAAATTTGGTTTGCATTTAATTTATGAGCGACGAGTGACGAAGCGTCGAGCTCCGAGCTATAGCTCATTGTGGCTCAACCCCTGCCCCAATGCTGCCCTTCCCCACTATCTCAAACTCAATTTCCATTTTCCAATCCTTTTGTCATATTTAGACTTGGAGACCGGGGAAGGAAAGCGAAAGCTGACTTGATGGAGCAAATTTGTGGGAATGCTCTAAATAAAGAGGAATATTCATAAATAATTCGATTGATAAATAATTAATTATGTTCATGTTCATTGTTCTGCTTAGTTAGTGAAACAACAATGCTAATAACTTGTTTCTATAATTCTATTTCCTTTACAGCTTTCTTTGATAACCACGTCAAAATGTTAAGGAACTATTAAAACTAAAAAGGACGTCAAGGATATTTTTTAATATAAACATTGCATGCAACACATATGCGAACGGCATAGGCCCATCTACGAGCATATTTCCAACGCCCAATTGACGTAACTGTAAAATTAAAATCCACACAAAACGGCTTCCAAATGAAGATGGCATCTCAACGATTTTGTTTGCGCTGGAATAATCATCAGAGCAATCTGTTATCCGTCTTCGATCAGCTGCTGCACGCTGAGACCTTCACAGATGTGACGCTGGCCGTCGAGGGTCAATACCTGAAGGCACACAAGGTAAGTAGACATATGCGATAAATAAATTGACATACTTCGATACTAAAACTTAGTATGCTTCGCTCTCTCTTTCCCTCTTCCTCTGTCTCTTTATCTAATTTGACAGATGGTGCTATCCGCCTGCAGTCCATATTTCAATGCACTGTTTGTGAATCATCCGGAAAAGCATCCGATTGTCATATTGAAAGATGTGCCCTATTCGGATATGAAATCCCTGCTGGACTTTATGTATCGGGGCGAGGTGTCTGTCGATCAGGAACGCCTAACCGCCTTTTTGCGTGTCGCCGAAAGTCTGCGCATCAAGGGCCTCACCGAGGTCAACGATGACAAACCCACCTCAGCGGAAACCGCCCCGGCGCCGCCCCAATTGCAGCGCATACAGCCGTACCTGGTGCCGCAGCAGCGCAAGCAACAGTCCAATGTGTTGGCCGCCAATGCTGCAGCGGCCGCCTTGCAGGCAGCCACGCAACAGCAGCAGCAGCAGCAACAACAGCAGCAGCAACAACAACAGCAGCTACAGCAAACATCGCTGCTGAGCACAGCGCTGATGCCCAAACGCAAACGGGGCAGACCTCGCAAGCTCTCGGGCAGCTCCAATGGCACAGGCAACGACTACGACGAATACGAACGTGAGGGCGGTATGAATGTAAGTAGACCAAGAGGAGATATCGAAGCATAAATAGCCTGTACCAATCATAATTTGAGCTCCTTAAATTGTAAAATTAGGTTGAGTAGATATAATTTACATTAGTCTAATCTTTGTATATGGATGGTTTCGATTTGGTAAATAAGTTCACTTTTTATAAGCACTACTAAGTTGTAAATTTGATTTATCAATAGGATTCCGATATGGGCAATGGAAAATTGTGTAATGACTCCTACTCCGGCAATGATGATGGCTCCGATGACAACCAACAAGAATCTGCTCACCACGATGAACTGAATGTAAGTTTGACCCTACTCTCTCGCGCTCTCGTTCTCTTCTCTTTGGTCGCGTTAAAGATTGTTTTTTAATCTCGCGACTTGAAACAACTTGCAGGAAAGCCGCGACTCGTTGCCCACAAAGAGATCAAAGAGCGGGAAAGATCAGCGCATGGCACAGCAAGACGACAACAGCACTTCCGGTGAGTCGAGAATGTTTTCAATTCATCATTTGCATTTCATTTTTGTGAAACGAACAATTCATTTCAAAATAGTCTAAGCTAAACATTTACTTTGCTAGCACTAAGAAACAACTACACCATCAATCAGACAATCAATCAAAAAATATAACAAATTTATAGTCTTTAAGCAGAGTATATTAATTTTTAACAAAGTCAATAATGATCACAAACAAGAAAAATCAGAAAACAGCACAAAAATTTAATAGAAAATGAACGTTATTCGTTTTCGAAAAACATTCGAATAACATTTCGAAAAACTCATTTGCATAAATTTCGAATTGTGTTATCGGAAAAGCTAAAAGGGATTTACGCATTTCAAATAGAAAAGGAAAAATAACAAAAACGAAGAAAAAAAATTCGCGTCGGGTTTACTTTTGTGTACCAATAAAAGTGAGAAACTTGTTTTTTAAAATAAAAAAAAAAAAAAAAAAAAAATTGCAAAATATTTAATTGCAATTGTAGTGTGTTTACGCATTCGTTTTGACGCGCATTTGCTGAGTTTCGCATTTCGCCAGGTGAGTGTATCCAATGCAACAACAACAACGATGCCAAAGAAATGCAAATGCACAAATGCAGAAAACAAGAAGATGAAAAAGAAAAAGTTTAGTCAAGTTGAAAAATCGGGTTGAAGCTCACAGGGATTTAAGGCCGACGCTTGAAATAAATATTTAAAAAAAGAAAGATCAGAAAAAATATAAATTGAAAAACTCATGAAAATCCGCGTTAAAACCAAAAGCGAAAAATCACAAACAGAAAAGAAAAACGTTTTTTGAAAGACATCCAAAACTAAAGCAGAAAGAAGAGCGCAACAAAAAATGCTGCAAAATTTTAAGGAAAATGGAAAAGAAAATTGATGAAAAATCTTTTTCGTTTTTTTTCTCGTCGAGCGTAACGCGTTGCTAGTGCTTTGAAATATGGCTTGAAAATCCCTATAGCTTTTCCGAACCGATTTGAAACTTGTTCCATTTGTGTTTTTGCCTTTCTTTTGCATACTCTACACACACACTCATGCACGCTTTACAGCATTAATTAACTAAATCACATTTCTAATTGATTTTTAGATGGAAACGATAGCGATGGCGATGGCATGGATACCTCATATATGGAGCCACAACTGATGTTGGATGAATACGATGAGCCCGTGGAATTCAAATACAATCCTTTGACGGACAGTTCACCAACGCAGGATCAGAACAGCTCCACGGACAATCAGCATCTCAATGAGCAGGCAAGACAGCAGGCATTCCTCATTGCAGCACAGCGCAAACATCAGGCGGAATCGGCATTGGCGGCCACAGCAGCAGCTGTTGGTGGCGGCGGTCTGAAGCTGAATATTGTGGGCATTGCCAGCGGTGGCAAGTCCATGGTTAGCATTCCGAAGCTGACGCCCATTGGTAAGGTGAATGCTGCATCTACGCCGCTGGTATCGCCCGCCTCGTCGTCCTCGTCCAAGCCGCGTGCGCAGAAGCGACCTAAGCTCAAGCAGCAACAGAATGGCGATGTCGTTAAGACTGCCTATGCTGCCGGACAGGAATATCTGGATCTGTACAATAGCAACGATGGCTTCAAGCCCAAATCGGAGCTACTCGGAGGCAGTACGCCGAATCTAAGCAGCGGCAGCGGCGGTGTGGGCGTTACGCCCGCCGTAAAAACCAAACTCAATCTCAGCAGTAATGTGGGCGAGGGCGAGTCGGAGGGTTCGGTGCGCGACTACTGTACCAAAGAGGGCGAGCATACGTATCGCTGTAAAGTCTGCTCTCGGGTATATACGCACATTAGCAACTTTTGCCGGCATTACGTGACATCGCACAAGCGCAACGTTAAGGTCTATCCGTGTCCGTTCTGCTTCAAGGAGTTCACGCGCAAGGACAATATGACGGCGCATGTGAAGATCATACACAAGATTGAGAATCCGTCAACAGCCCTGGCCAATGTGGCGGCGGCTAGTTTGGCCAATCAATCGCTGGGTGTGGCAGCGGGCAATACGGCCGCGCCGCCCGATTTGAGTGCACAGAACTCGAATCAATCCCTGACAGCGACTAATAATGCGTTATCCACCTCATCATCGTCGTCGACGTCATCGTCGAGCGGTTCATTGGGGCCGCTGGCAACCGCAGCAGCGGCAGCGGCTGCTGCAGCGGCGCAGTAATCTCCCACACATAAAATATATATATATAGAGACAGCCGCAAATTCCAAAATCAAAACAATCAAAAAATGTGAAAAATATGTAAAAGTCAAGGGCAAGCGCCAGGCGCTAAATGTGCCTTATGTGCTTTATCGTAGCGGAATCAGAGAAGGAAAATATCTTATATACTATATAAATGGTATATAAATGTGTATAGACAGAGAGGCCTTTCAACATTGCAGATTTGTTAATTTTTGTTTTTTAGTTATTTAAACTTGACAGCATGAAGTTTTCTCTGTTGAAATGTTATTTTTTCCACTTTCTCTATATATAAGATATATATGTATGTATAAAAATATATATGTATATATCTATATAGATATAAACTTTTCTTTTAAAATTTTTTTTTATTCGATCTTTTGTTGTGCAATTATTTTCAAATTAGTTTAAACATTATCTAAAAAAAATAGCAGTTAATCAAAAAAAAAAAAAAAAGGTATAAATATATATTTTATATGTAATATTTTTAATTAAACTAATGTAAACAGCAAAAAAAAAAAAATATATATATATATATATATTATTTTTTTAATGAATGCAGCACCGCAGCGGCCTTATCAAGCATATAAAAACTAAAAAAAATATTATATTTAAATTAAATGAACTATATTTTAGTTAATGACAAACGCTAAACTAAAAAATATATATATGCATGTATGTATGTATATATATGTAAACATATTTAATTATATATAACTTTGGTATGCGTAGCTATAGATCTATTAATTAATTTATATATACAACATGCGTTTGTATATACGTATATTTATATACATTTATATATCTATATACTAAACATAATGTTCTACGTTTAAATGTTTATATAAATATGTGTGAATCGTGCGAGCTGCGAGGCTCTGCACAGATCTACCTTGTTGCCTTCAAATGAAGCTAGTTGAAAGAAAAAAGAAAACTATATAGATTGGTAACGCTATATAGCAGCCCAATCCAATTCGGAAAGGAATCTGTAAAAGCCAGCCGCACAGACTCGAGGTGAAAGATTGCAAATGTTTCGCTTGGGTTTGGTGTGAGCTGCATTAAATGCTTATAAACAGAAACAAAAAAATATATATATTTTATATAACATAATAATTACTGATTAAATATTATGTTTATGTTTACGTTTATAACAAAAAAGCAAAAGAAAAAAAAAACAAACAAACAAACAAAAACAATATCTAACTAACGTAGTCTAAAGACCAACTATGCAAATAATTTATCTATCTATTATTACTTTAAAAAACAAAAACAATTAAAATTTATGTTGTATATCTCGGAGGCTTAAATTATCGCCAAAGAAATGAAGCAAAAGCAGAAAATAAAAATAAAAAACAAATACAAATTTAATGCAAAAACAAATACAAAATCAAGTTAATTCAACAAAATAGCAGCAAAATATGAACACGATCTCCATAAAAAAAAAAAAAAAAAAAAAAAAAAAAAAAAAAAAAAACAAAAACATAAAACTTGAAAAAGTTGAAAAAGCAAAGAGAAAAGAAAATTGAATTTGATTTGAATTTGTTGCATTGCAAAACATTAACAAAAAGTAAATGAAAAACAGCTCCAATTTTTGTTAGCATCAAAAAATAAAATAAAAAATAAAAATGTAATAAATAATTTAAAAGAAAAGCATTATAATTTATTAAATAATAATTTGTTTTTAATTCTTTATTTAGTGTTAGCTAGTGCAATTTAGTTAAGTTAACGTAAACCTCTTTCCACCAATTCAATAACTATGGCTAACCCAACAATACACACACATACATATATATCTATATATCTTTTGGCATTATAACAGTAATATATACATATATATTCACATATATATATATTGTATGTATTTATATTTTAACTTTTAATTTTAGTTCACGTTTTGTATACAAATATATGTTTGTTTTTTTGGCCCACATCAAAAGAAAATAATGAGGAACTTTCCCCAACAAATCTTAACAAATCAATTTCCAACTCGAAAAACTCTTATTTTGTACTATTACTACTATTAATAATTATTATCAGACCTTCCATAATATTATTATTATATTATAATTAAACAGTCATGCTTTTGATGTCCAAAGAAAACAAAGGAAAAATAAAAAATAAACATAAATAATTAAATTAAACACAATTTGTTTAAAGGCTAAAGAATATCTGAACTATATATGGATATATATATAGTGCAAAAATTGCATAAATAAATCAATTAATTGAACAACAATTAAGCTTGTAAAATTAATCAATATTAGTAAATCACGCAATATTATTCATTAAAAAAATACATTTTGTTATATTTTATTACGAAATACGAAAAATGATTATTATTATTATATATCGATTAATTGACAAATGTGAAGAGAAATAAAATACACACACACAACAACAACAACTAAACAGTTCTGTAAAAGAAACAAATTGTTTGCGTTTTATTTTTAGTTTTTAAAATTAATATTTTAATTTATTTTTATCGAATAAAATCGATGACTTGTTTGATAAACAAATTAAAATATATGAAAATATGAATTGATATTAATTTTGGCACATTTTTCTTATTGAATGGTTTTTTTTCCTATCTTATAAAACAATCAAAGAGTATAAAATGTACTCAAATTATACGTCAAAGGTTGTAAGCAATACCATAAAATAATATCTATATATATCTGATCAGCATCAATAGCCAAGATTTACATGCATAGTTACGTAGTTACATATATGGAATACCCTAACTTAATATGATTTCAATCACATACTAGTTAATATTTAATTAATATAAATATATAATGTCTTATTGGATTTTATAGCCACGCCTGAGCTCTCGCAGCGTTTGTTTGGTTCGACATCCACCCAAATCGGGACGACGACAGAGACGTCGCCATCTGCACGGGAATCCTGCGACATGGGCGGCTCGGCACCCTTGCACCTGCCTACCATATTGGGCTTGAAGATACGTCCTATTAATACCAGCAATCAGTCACATTCGCAGTCGCAGTCACAGTCTCAGTCACAATCCCAGTCACAGTTACAGTTACAGTCAAAAGCGCTGCACAACAACAGCAACAGTAACAACAACAATAGCAATAGCAATAGCAACTCACTGCTCAAGCAGCAGCTGCGTGGTGGCCCCAAGGATCCGGATACGTTGGTGTCGCTGGCGCTGCCAGCAGCCTCCATCGAAGAGCCCAACGAGCAGGAGAACAGTTGCAGCGCGTTGCAGTCGCTGGCAAATGCTGCAGAGCGTCAAGCGCAGCAGGCGTCCAGCAGCAACAGCGGCAACAACAACAACAACAGCAATAGCAGTAACAACAATAACAATTCCAGTCTACATCAGCAGCTGCTGCTGCACATGGCTGCCACGGGCAATCCGCTGCTCAAGTCGGACTTTTATCAGGGGCAGCAATCACAGGCGCAACAGCAACCTCTACAGCCGCCCACAACGCCGCCCCCGGCCGAGCCTAGTTATGCGGATGAAGATCTCGAATTGCTTTGTGTGGCGGATAAGAGCGATGAAACGGATCATGAGCTGTTAACGCTAGCCGACGAGAATGCCGGCCTGCCCGGCTATACGCCCGCACATGAATCCTTTGAGGAGCCGCTGCCCACCATTGAGCGCAGTCCGCCACGATCGCGCGCCTCCGGCACGGCCAAGCGGCCCATCCAACGACGACGTGTGCGACGCAAGGCCCAATCGACGATCGACGATCAGGCCGAGCATCTGACGGAAATGTCGGTGCGGGGCTTGGATCTGTTTCGGTATGCGAGCGTGGTTGAGGGCGTCTATCGCTGCACCGAATGTGCCAAGGAGAACATGCAAAAGACCTTCAAGAACAAATACAGTTTTCAGCGTCACGCGTTTCTCTATCACGAAGGCAAGCACCGCAAGGTGTTCCCCTGCCCGGTGTGCTGCAAGGAGTTCTCCCGGCCGGACAAGATGAAGAACCATCTGAAGATGACGCACGAGAATTTCACGCCGCCCAAGGACATCGGCGGGTTCAGTCCGCTCAAGTATCTGATCTCTGCGGCAACAGCGGGCGACATGCACTCAACAATCTACCAGCAACAGCAGCAACAACTCGAGCAGCAGCAACAACTCGAGCAGCAACAACAGCTCGAGCAACAGCAACAACTCGAGCAGCAGCAACAACAGTTGGAGCAGCAACAACAACAACAATTGGAACAGGAGCAGCTGCTGTTGCTGCCTGATGTCAAGCAGGAGCAACCGGAAACGGAACAACAGCTAACCGCCTATTCAGCACCTGCCACGCCCACAACAGCAGCGGCCGCAATGCTCAGTTTGCAGCATGACGTCATCATCAAAAATGAAATACAAATCTCGCCATCGCCATCGCCCTCACCGCCAGCCATGTACGGAGTGGGGGGCGAGGGTAAAAGCCTGACGCCAGTGCCAACAGGTGTCAACTGAGAGAGGTAGGAAGAGGGAAAGTAAAATAATGAGAGAAAGAGAAACCGGGCGAATGACAATGAGAGGAAGACGATGAGCCAGTAGAGAGGAAGATAGAAAGACAGAGAAAGAGAAAGAGGACCGACGAGAGAGTAACAGAAATGAGCAAGGAGATATAGATGTAGAAGAGGGAGTAGCAGATAAAGAGACAGAAGTAAGAGACTAGAAGAGATGAGATAAAGTGAGAGTGAGAGAAAATAGAGCGTGCCTTAAACAAAACACACAACTGTAAAATACTAAAATACTTAAAGCTAAGCAATTGTCAGAAGCAGGGGCGTAGGCAGAAAGGGGAATCAAAGGAATATTTAAAAATCAATTAATCATTTAACAATATCATATACGATATGCAATATGACATGTATGCATTTACTTAGGCGAGCTTTCCTAGAACAATATTCAGCATACGCCCCTGGTCAGAACTCAAAACGAACTCAAACGCATAAAATCTATAATTAGATATATACTATACAATTATACATATAGATGCAGTTATAGTTAATAATTAATACCAATCCTTAAGGACCTTTAGTGCACATCAGATAGCTAAATTTCTTTAGTTAAGCAATAAATATTTACAAAAATAGCAATAAGCTCAACAAGGTTCCGTCCATAAAAAAGCCTTACGATTTAGTTATTAAAGATATTATGTACTTAATAATTATTTAGTATTAAGTCCAAATGCAACTGATTAACTAGTAGAAAATTTCTTAATATCCACTGCCTCCTAAACATCTATAACTTTGATTTAGCTCTGATTTAAATTATTACAATTGGCTTATCTGTATCTTAAGGCAAGTGGCAAGGCTCGACTGAATTTACTTTGAACTCTGTTTAAACTTATTCATTGTGAAGAAGCTACGAGTTGATTGCCTTATGGTGAACGAGTGAATTTAGTTGTTATAGTGAAGCAATCATTAATCCACTCACTATATAAGATTACCGAAAGCTTTTATTCAAGTGAACTTACCACGCCTTAAGCAGGCAGCCGAGAGTGTGCTTAAGGAGCCAACAACTAAATTTACTCGCTTCTTTCCACTCGTTACGTTATTTTTTGTTCTTTTCATTTTTTGTTTATGTCTTGTGTGATTTTGTTGAACTGTATTTTGTTTAGTCTCTTATTTTTATATTGTTGTACATAGTATTACGTTCGAATACTCAAAGACCTTAGAATAATGGGCATGTGTGGTCTATTGGTAACACAAGAAACCGCAAACCCCACTGAATTGGCTAATTGTGCAATTATCAAAAGAAAAAAAAAAACAACAAAAATGAAATCATAATGAAAATTATAACTATGTGGAGTCTGGCCTGTCCAACCCATGTAAATGTAAACTTAATTAACGACTACTTAATTATGCTCTAGCAGACTTTTTAGCTCCTAAGTGTAGTATATATATATATGTAGCATATTTTGTCTAGTTACTATATAGTGTATGTATGTATAACTCGTTTCTAAGGCATTCTCGAAATGCGCAACGGACTTCCAGTGAAAAATAACTGATATTCTTACTTAAGCTCAGCAATGGATACTAAATCACCAACACGCTGTTACTCAGTTGATTGCCTTAGTGTCTTACACTTCACACAAATTGTACGCACAAAAAAGAAAAACAAAGTACTCAGCATTTCATATTATGTATTTTTTCGATATATGTATATACATATATATAAATATACATTTACTTAAAGCAATCATTACGACTTAAACTGTCAGTGCGCTCAATAAATAGATTTTATACAATTTATAAATTACAATTTGTTTTATTTAAATTATTATTAATTTTGTTTAATATTCCCTTTTTCATGCATATGTCAATTATAATTTTAAAAAAAATTATATAAAAAAAAAGGATAACAAAATATTAGAGTACTAGCAGTCCCAGCAAGCGTTGCATTGCCCTACCCTTATTTCTAGGTAAAAAATGATTAAAAGGTATGTTGTTCAGGTTGGGATACACTCTAATTAATTTATTAATCAGATTTTCATTCAAGCACGAAACGACATTCTTCGTTTTTTGGTCAGGTGCAAGAACAAATAATGCGGATGGTTTGCCAACACGTGAGCATGCCACGTACAATTGACCATGAGAAAAACACGCATTTTCTAGATTGAGGCCACAAATAGTCAAACGGATGAAAGTCAGGCGCTCCGTTTCGATTTTCACGTACATGTCAACGCAGTATTGTTGAAACAGTCGACGAAATCGCAACAAATAATTGTCAGAATTTTCACGAATCATCAAACGATATGCGTAATAATTCATAGAACTAACCTTCTTGCCAGTTTCCTCACCTGAAACAAATGCAGTAAAAATTGTATTTTAGAGCCCCTAATAGGTTTACGACTCTTACAGCTACTCTCTACTAAATTAAGAGTGATAACTTTTTTTGTGTACCAAAAGCAAACAGAATAAAATGTATATATAAAGTTAAAATGAAAACAATGATTGATCTTACCATTCAATGGATTTATCATTTTGATATTAAAGTGATATCCATCGTCTCCTTGCCAAAACATCAGCGGGTATTGTAAAGCGTCATATGAACGGTGCGTTTCAGATATTCTTTGTAGTTGCGCAGCACTGCGTCGTGTAAGCACAATATCGCGTGCTTCCAAGCTTTCACCAACAATCAGGATTGCCACTTCATCGATTGTTGGAGCATTAAATGTGCGTTCATGTGTTCCAGCTGGTCTTTTATCTGCTCTGATTACTATTTTATAGTCATCTCTTGGCATGCGCTCTAAAGCGGTCTTGAACAACTTGACCAATGCATGATGTTCATGAAGCATTTGCTGCAAATCTTGGAGAATTGCTCTTTTCATCGCAGTGTTGATTTCTTGGCGCCGATCAAGTTGCTCTTCCATATTGCCCATGAAGTATATTTGCAAGAATTTGTGCTGTTCATCTTCAATAGGTTGCAATGATCCAATGCGATGGCAAATCTGGCCTTGAATCTTTACATTCAAAGCCATAGTTATAGTTAGATTTACAAACACTTTTTACAGAAATCTAAACAACTACATTATCCCAAATAAGAAAATAAAATTTTTAACGTAAATTACCTTAAATGTCGGATTATATCCGTGTTCTTCAATAATTTCCGCCCCAAATGAAGTCATTTGGAAACAGGCATTGTATTTTTGAGTGTTCGCTAGAAAATGTCGTGATTCTAGTGTTTCGCCATAAAGCAGGGAACGCAATGGCTCTGGTGGCGAGACCACTAATGGCAATGTCACTTTACCACTAAGGCAACACAAACCGGGCGTTTCACCAGCAAACTTCAATGCGCCACAATGCTGGCAAACAACGTCCATTGGACCAATGCAAACTAAACGATTCAAGCTGTAGTCAATGGTACAATCATATCGAAACGCTGCTCGATTCAAATCAATCCTTGAACCATTTCTTATTGCCGTTTCACGGGCTGCCTCTCTTTGAGAAGCACGAATTAAGGCCCTTCTTTGCTGGGTACTAACGCGGCGCCTTTCTCGTTCTTCGTCAGATAATTGACTCGCGGTATTCCGTAGCCTAATTGCATTATGGGTCCGCTGGGAAAGATTAGATCTTCTAGGACGCGGCATTTTCATTAATAGTAATACTGAATATGCACAATCGCACAAAACCACATAAAATATCGAGAAATCGAGAAATATAAATAAAAATTATTTACAAAAATAATGTCGAGAAATACAAATATAAATTATTTACAAAAATAATGTCTGAGAAAAACAAATTCAACAATACCTACCTGAACTTTCGAGATATTTTGCTTTTGTCCGTATGCGTATTGTTTTTCAAAATTTTTTTTTTTAACAAATGTGCTTTTTTATGAATAGTCAGGTTCGCCTGAGGCTGTGCCGTAGACTGACTGACTACATTTGTTTATTTACTTCTACACTATTGTCAAAACTGTCACTGTTACCAAGCCTACTGGGTATAAAAAAAATTTGAACATTTGGGGAAAAAACCGCGTTTTTCAAGTATTCGGCAAATTTTTTCAGTATTTTTAAGACCCTATACTAAACTCGTTGCGGAGACAAATCCAACAAATCAAAAACCATGAAAATTGGTTCAGCCCAACTCAAGTTATAAGCAGTCTTCACTTTTACACAACTTTCTTTTATATATATAGATTACTAACATTAATCTTAACTGAGACCTAGGACTAAAGGATGAAGGAAGAAAATAAACAAATTCCTTGCTGGCGCCATCTATTGGAAAATAGAAACAAATGCATAAATGTGTAGCATGCTTACACTTGCTACAGCAGTTACAGCTGACAAAAATTAAAAAATAAATGAAATAATATATTAATGTTTGTCACTTATTTTATTTATTAATTATTAAAATCTTTGTCCAACAATTATTGATTATTGGCACGACGATACCAGAAACGTGCACGGAAATCATCGGAGCAGGTGAGAAAAGCTGGCGCATTGGGTGAATGGGTTATGTAGCGCACAGGTCCGTTGTGACCCAGAGAGTTGAGAGTGAGGCGACAGCCATTTCGTGAGTTCCACGAACATAAGGACGTGGTCGCCTCATCAGGGAACAGAACATAGTCCTCGGTGTGATTGAAAACAGCTTCCGCTTGATGCTCTTGCTTGCCGGTGGTGCCAGCGCCCGTGTACGTTTGTATGGGTCGACTGGTGCAAAGCTCCCACAGATATACAATCGAGTCCATGCCAGATGAAAGCAAATACTAAAGGAAAGAATGTTATATAATACGATAGCAAATTATCTGTGGCCGCATTATGTACTTACTTTTCCGTTTCGCGTAAACTGCAAGGAGCAAATGGCTGCTCCACTGTGGGCTTCAGCAATGGTATTGATGCAACGTCCGCTGATGCCATCCCAGATTTTTATGTCACCATCAAAGCTGCCTGTCGCATAGAGCTTTGCTGTGGGCGAATATTTGACGCAGGTGACGCCCGCCTTGTGCTGTTGCGATGGAATGGCGCTGACAAAGCACTGCGTTGTATGCACATCGTAAACACGCAGCACATGATGCTCTGTGCCAATCGCTATGTAGTCGCCTGTTGGATGAAAGGATACGCATAGTACTGGCTCGCAATCGGTGAGCACTTTGTGCGCCTTCTTCACCGACGGCTTGGCAATGTCGAAGAGTTTGACAGTACCATCGCGCGATGCTGATGCCAGAATGTGCTCCTTGGGATGAAACTCTAGATACGACACCTCATCTGTGTGATCGTAGAGCGTGCGTATAACTGGATGGCCTTGTTGCTCACGTCCGGGCTCAATGTCCTCTGGAGCCGATTTTGCCAGCATGCGCTCCACATCCAATATCTTAATACTGGCATCCACACTGCCCGTGGCGACCAAGGAGCCATCAAAGCTGAAGGCACCGGCACGACAAGCCTGCTTATGTGAGGTCACATAGGCGGTTTCATAGGAATGCGGCTCGGGAGCCAATGCCGACGCTTCTGGCTCGAATTCCAGATCAATACCTGGTAGCACATCATCCGTGTTGGTTTTATCCTTATCAGACATTGACTGCATGCCTGAGATCATGACATGAAGCAGACGCTCGCTTGGAGCACACTGATCTGCCTTGACTAGCATGGACAGCTCCATAGCAAATTTCTCCAAGCCATCGTACATTAATTGGCTGCACATGAAAAACATTAATAAGCAATGCGGCTTATAAGCAATCAGTTTTAGCTTACCTTATCATTAACCGGTATAATATTTCCCGGTTTTTAACCAAATTATTCGGATCCAAAATTTCGTCGCGCATCTTTCCTTATAAATATAAAATTAGTGATGAACGAAATTATCAAAACATCGCCATATCGACATTTGCCGGCGTTTGTTCGTCGAGTCTTTCGATTTCTATCGATATGTAATTCTAGATCACAAATTAAATATCGTGCCGCAATCCTAATATCGAATCTACTAATTTCGATAGCCCCCAGCTGCAACACGTGCAATTGTTTTGTTTTCATAGCGTTCAGTTTTAACAATTTAACAAACAAATAATGAAAATTCGCAAGAATCATGTGCGTAAGCGTTACCGCTACAATGTCAATCGGAAAACGATGAATAAAACAAGGAAAAACACTGGAAAAATCAAGGAGTAAGTATGCTGCCACGCGACTGTTGACATTCAAAACATTATATCCGCGCTTTACAGCCCAGAGATGAAGAAAATGTGGCTGGAAGGAAAACGCGTGGGCACCAATTTCAGTGAAATGGGTTTGGCCCGTGATCCAAACAAGGCGGTGGGCGTACCAAATTACAAACGCGAAAGGCTGGAGGCTGTTAAAATTGTAAATGGCTTTACTGAAGAGGCGCTAGACGACGACGAAATAGCCATTCTGGGTTCTAAGAAAGACAAAATAGAGTCCCCCAAACCAAAGCGGGGGCACGTCGTTCAAGAGCTCGAGCAGATGGCAATTGATCGAAGAGCTGATCCAGAGTTCAGGTATGCATATGGTGTAAAATATGGTACGTGCTGTATTATTTACCTTTTATACCATTAATTATAGGTTACCAAAGGGAGTGGTAAAGGAACTGTCATATTTCCTAAATAAGCACAAATTCAACTATAAGGCCATGGTGTCAGATCGTCGTAATCATGGTCAGTGGACGTGGAGGCAATTCCGCTTGAAAATACGTAGATTTATGTCTATACCAGAGCAATTTAATGAATACCTCGAGAAGAACAAACTTCCCATAAATGCTAAACCAGATTGGCCAGAATACGAGTCGGACAGTGAATGGAAATAACTGTTAATGTATAGAATATAGAATATAAAAAATATATAAAACAGATAACGTATACAAAAAATTTTTTAAAATAGACAGAGACTAGATATTTTGTTTAGCCTATATTAAAGAAAATTACACTGATTAATTCAAACAAACTGTAAATATATAATTTATACGGCGTTTTCCATAAATATCCTTTCATTATACAAAATTCAGGTTTCTTAACCTTTCTGGCGTGTGTTCGACATAAATTTAATATTTTCGTCAAGTAATTATTCAAACCCTCTAATTACATTGAGTATGAGCATAATTGAGCAGCATAAGCTGTAATCAAGTGTATCCACCATCGCACTGCATACCAAAAATCGAACAGCTGACAACAACGTTTAGATAACGGTTAAGCTCTCACATAATCTCTTCTTCTTGTTGCGCTAATCACACATGCATTGTGCTGTCAATTAGCATTGACTGTTAAAATTGCCCGCAATTTTCAATTTGCCATCCCATATCTATCCCTTGCCCCAGTGGGTTGGCTACTCTGTCTGTCATTCGCTGTTGCATCATCGTGCATCGGTTGTCGGGTTTCGGTCTCTTCGTCAACCGACTGGCTGCTTCTGCTGATTTCGGTCTTTCCGTTTTCTGGTTTCGAGGTAAGTGCACGTACAGAGGTCCGTGCAGCTTTCTTAAAATCCTTAAATAACGTTTTTACTAATAACCATCGATTAATAATTTGTGTGCTAAATGACTGAAAAGTGCTAGTGTTCATTCAAATGTTTATTATTGATGCGTATTTCGAGCCGTATCAAGAGTAAAAGGAAGCTTAAATTTCGTGCGTTTACCGGCCGGTGATTTGACTGTGAGGTTTTGCATAATACGTTGCTTGACTATGTTTGTATGTATGTATGTAACGGTATCCGTGCTCATGCGTACAAATTTTATTATTAACAAAAATAACAAACATTGATATGGAATTTGCACATCAAAATCAGTGAATAGAATTTTTCTACCTAACGGACATTTTTGCGCACATACATGCTTATACATATGTACATTCATACATAAACATGTATATATATGTATGTTTGTATTTGTATGCCCAGCGCTCTAGTAAATTCCAAAATGGCGGCCGTGCCTGTAGAAGTCTGCAGTTGCTCATGTGTTTGTGTGTGTGTGTATGCTTGCTACACAGTTATGTTGCCAAATTTAAAGTGTTCCATGCATGCAAATATGTATGTATGTACATACATATGTGTATTTCTTGAGATTTGTGTGCAATTCTGTTACAGTACTACTGAGTGAAAGAGACCGACTGCAAAGTATTTTTACATTTCCCTTTAAGGTTTTTCTTCTTTTTATTTTAATTTGCACTTGTGTGCCAATGAATGTACACATGCATACACGTACATGTGTCGTTAAAAATAACTAAAGAAAAAGCGCAAGTAAAAATTGTTTCTAGGCTAGAAAATAAATCACGCTAAAGAGCCAAAGCACACACACACACAAACAGGCGGATACACATGCATGCACATCATCCGCATGTATGTATGCATATTTGTCTCCTGTTGTTTTTGCAAGTTTATCCAAGACGACGCAGACCAACGGAAACGATGAGCAAGTGCAACCCGAAGCAGCGGCATTTATGGCTCTATATGCGTGTGCTAGTTGTGCATACATTCATATGTAGTGTGTGTGTGTGTTTGTGTGCAATTTTTCACCCTTTCGACTCGTGAGCGGAGAAAAGAGCACACGAATGCCGCAAATGCCGGCGATGAGCAAAAGCTACAAATACCGTTGCAGTCGCTCTTTGCCACCAACATTGATTTTCACCATCTCTTCCCACTCCTCCTACTTCACGCTGCCTCTTGAAATAAATTGAGTTATAATTGTTGTTAAATTATTCTTGTGCTACAACAAAGGTATTGTCAGCGGGAGCTATTCATGAGTTGCCACCTGTATTTTCTTTTGCGGCAGCCCGTCCTGAAATGCCATAGACTGGAGATTATTGAAATGCCCCAGGTGGGCTGGTGGGCCTGGTGTGTTGTATTACTGGGGCCCTTGGGGAGTGCATTCGGCAACGTCGCCGTTCGGCTCAGTCTCGCTTTTCAGCTCCAGAAGCTCTCGTCGTTTGTCTGGGTTCATTATTGATTTTTCGTTTCAACCATTGAGACCCTGCTTGCATACTTATTGTGTCCAGATTTTCCGCGATTGACTAACGAACAGACGTGTGTCGTCCTCAATTGGTAATATCTATATATGGAACTCGTAAATAAATAATGTCACAAATATTAAAACATGCTCATTCAGTGTGCTTAGCATATACAACTATAAATTTGATATTATTGTGAAATTTAGTTTGTCAATACAGCTCACCAGTTCTTTTTTTTTTTTGCAGCGCATCGCCAATTGAAGCGTCTGTGAGCAGCAAGTTACATTTAAACCAATTTCCTGGTAAGTTTTACCTAGATTAATGTATATTTGTCCATGTAGATATTATATGCATATACATACACATTTACATAAATGTATAATTGTAAATACATACATATGTATTTTTACTGGGCCGTCTTAAAAGCCGGTTAATTAATTGATTGTTCAGTACCTATTTCTGGTCCTTTTTTTTCATATTGCAAATTGTTCTATACGATAAATACATTTTGTTTTATAAAAGAAGTTTATAATACAAATTATTTAACTTAAAAAGCTCTTACAAAAAATACATTATTGGATCATTTGTCAAAATCTGTGTTTTTCTAAAAAACAATTATATTATTTTTTATTTAAGTTTTTATCAAAATTAATAGTTAGAATGTTGCAACTTATAAGTATAAGCTTTTATTTTTTTTTTTATTTAAGAATATTTGTAGTTTTTTCTTAATTATTTTAAAATGAAATATGCAAATGTCCTCTTTATCGAACTTCCGCTGTACATATGCAGGAGCGTAGCTGCAGCAGCGGCAGCATTTGTCTCTACACCGCGAACAGAGTCGCGCCCACTCTCACGCTCGTACCTTAGCCATACATATAAATAAATACATACATATGTATATACATGCGTTTATACATATGCAGGTCCTGGCTATGCTCATTCGTGTCCTTATAGCACGCCTTTGCTTTTTCTCTCTCCTCCACTCTCTCTCTCTCTCTCTCTTTCTCTGTTTCTCTACGACACCCACGCTCCAAATTTGATATATATATATATACATGAATCTACATATTTATATATGTGTATGTCGTTTGCCATGCAGGTTGTATCAAAAACTACAAAAGCTAAAACAGGAAGGAAAAATACGATTTTTGAAACTTAGAGACTCCAGAGATTTATCGCGTCGTTGATTACGTAGCAGCACCATGGGCAAGGAAAAGATCCATATTAACATCGTTGTGATTGGCCACGTAGATTCGGGCAAGTCGACCACCACTGGACATTTGATTTACAAATGCGGCGGAATCGATAAGCGTACAATTGAGAAGTTCGAGAAGGAGGCCCAGGAGATGGGCAAGGGCTCGTTCAAGTATGCCTGGGTGCTCGACAAACTGAAGGCTGAGCGCGAGCGCGGCATCACCATTGATATTGCCTTGTGGAAATTCGAGACGGCCAAGTATTATGTGACCATCATTGATGCGCCCGGTCACAGGGATTTCATCAAGAACATGATTACCGGCACTTCGCAAGCCGATTGTGCCGTGCTGATTGTAGCTGCCGGCACTGGTGAATTTGAGGCTGGCATCTCGAAGAACGGCCAGACGCGTGAGCATGCGCTGTTGGCCTTCACGTTGGGCGTTAAGCAGCTGATTGTGGGCGTCAACAAGATGGATTCGACGGAGCCACCCTATAGCGAGACACGCTATGAGGAAATCAAAAAGGAGGTCTCCTCGTACATCAAGAAGATTGGCTACAATCCGGCCTCGGTCGCGTTTGTGCCCATTTCAGGCTGGCATGGTGACAACATGCTTGAGGCATCCGAGAAGATGCCCTGGTTCAAGGGCTGGACCGTCGAACGCAAGGAGGGCAAGACGGAGGGCAAGTGCTTGATTGACGCGCTGGACGCGATTATGCCGCCCCAGCGGCCCACTGACAAACCGCTGCGCCTGCCTCTGCAGGATGTCTACAAGATCGGTGGCATAGGCACAGTACCAGTTGGTCGTGTAGAGACTGGAGTACTCAAGCCAGGTGAGAAAATCATTCAAGTTAATTTATAATTTCATAGACTTATACTTTTGCTGTTCGATTTCAGGCATGGTGGTAAACTTTGCTCCCGTTAATCTGGTTACTGAAGTCAAGTCCGTGGAGATGCATCACGAGGCATTGACCGAGGCTATGCCGGGCGACAATGTCGGCTTCAACGTTAAAAACGTCTCGGTTAAGGAGTTGCGTCGTGGCTACGTGGCTGGCGATTCGAAGAACAATCCACCACGAGGCGCTGCCGATTTTACTGCTCAGGTGGGTGATGGTTTGATTGAGATTGCAACAGAAATGGAATTCAATATGATTTGTAATAATAAATGTTTTTTTTCTGTTCAGGTAATTGTGCTCAATCATCCTGGGCAGATTGCTAATGGGTATACCCCTGTATTGGATTGCCACACGGCACATATCGCATGCAAGTTTTCCGAGATCAAGGAGAAGTGTGATCGCCGTACGGGCAAGACCACCGAGACCGAACCGAAGGCCATCAAATCTGGCGATGCGGCCATCATATTGCTTGTACCCACTAAGCCGTTGTGCGTTGAAAGCTTCCAAGAATTTCCGCCGCTGGGACGGTTCGCAGTGCGCGATATGCGTCAAACTGTAGCGGTCGGTGTCATAAAATCGGTGAACTTTAAAGAAACGACCTCGGGCAAAGTAACAAAAGCCGCTGAGAAGGCACAGAAGAAGAAATAACTAGGGTGTCAGAAGACTTGTAATTCAAATAACAGCATCAACAATAACAACAACAACACTCAAACACTCAAACAACAAACGGCAAAAGCAACAACACACTTAAAATTTATAGTATCTACTCATCATAGGCGAGCAAAACCGATGCAAGGGCTTGACACAAAGTCCGTGGCGTATAAAATTTCATCGACTACAACTATTAACCACTGCATTCATATATTATATAAACTTGAAGAACTATTGCAATTTATTACAAACACACACACAATTAGTAGTGAGGCAATGCCAGCAACAATGGTTCGAGCCGCCCTCGCTGTACGTAACGAGGCCCAGACGAATGGACACATTGGTCACCTAGAATCATTCCCCCACGCGTACGCAAAATCTATCGCCATCATATTCATAATTATCATATACTCTAGCTATCTAAACTTGTTTCGCCACCGCAAATCGTTTCGCAGGAAACAGTCCCACATTCAGCATCATAATAATCGAAATGTATTCGCCACTGGAGTTTGCTGCTAGCCCGGCACCCCCTCTATACACTACCCTCTCTATTTGCTCCTCATTTATCACATGCCATAATTTCAATCAATGGATTTTAAACACTTTTTATACTTTTGATAAGTCAGTCGGAGGCATTCGATTTAAAATCTATATATTATAAAAGTAATTTTCAGAATATAGTTTTAAACCACTCTGCATCTTACCAACCTTAAAAAAAAAAAAAAAAAAAAAAAAAAAAAAAAAAAAAACTCAAGACTACATTCGCAATGAATTCAAAATTTTTCCCAGAAGAAAACAAAACAAAAAAGACAAATGCTTAAGAAGTATTACAAAAATAATATTCATAAATACATAATCATGTGCGGTTTTGTAAACATTCTAAATGTTCTATTGAGCCTCATTTGGCATTTGCATACTCTAATCAAATGTTTCTCATAAACGATTAACCACATTACAAGCATATGCGTACTTACATACATAATGCATTCATTGTCGTTACTATGAAACTTATAATTGTAACCCTCAACAGAAGACAATTCATGGATACAGAAAATGTTGCTTAATAAACAAACGTAAAATGATCTTTTAATGTATTAATTGAGAAAATAAAAATAAAGAATGCTTAACCGTAAAATACAACAAAAAACACATAGTTTTTATTTTATTTCCTATTTTGATCTGTAGCTTAAATCAAGGAATACTTGTTAATTGTCGCAGGGTATTACAAAGTCGGTTCAGCGGTGTATCCGCATTCGAATTTATTGCACACACATGTGTTCACTTTACGAACTGAGCTTATTTCATAGCAGACTGATTTTCGGAACTGGAACTCGTGAATTTAGTGAATAGTGTGGCAACTCTGTCATCTGACTCACAGGCGGCATTTATAAACAACAAAGCAGCAAAGCTCAACCGGCTGTGCTGAAATTTTCTATAAATTAAATTAAATAAAAAATTTGAAGGCTACATTTTATATTGACAACAATATACCATTTATAGCTGTACGACTACTTATAATTCAATATAATCACAGATATGGCCGATCCACGCTTAAGGCAGCTAGTTATAAAAACGGGTGTTGTCAAGCGCCTGGCAAAGGAGAAGACTGTTTATGAGAAGGAAGTGAAAACAGAGTTTGCTCGTCTTGATAAATTCAAAACAGACGGCGCTGATGAACATGTACTACGCAAGCAAGAAGAGGTTATACAGGAATGTCAGATGATGTTACCAGATTCAAAGCGAAGGTGACTCATAAAAAGACACCATTCAGCTTTAGTCACTACTAAATATGCTCTAATTTTCATAGGCTACAAAAGGAGTTTGAACTGTTGCAAAAATTTCTGCAGGATGAGCAGGATCTCAAAGAAACAGAGGAGTACACAAAGGCAGCCGAGATGTTAAGCGAGGCAGAAGCTATTCTTAAAGCATAGAGCATCAGCTGCTCCGATGCCGCCAACCACATTCTTCCCTGTACTTGCTTTTTACTAAGCTACCCACTCTCAATATATTTATATGTATTTTGCAACGTTAACCAACACTAATATCAAATATGCCGCAAGGCCTCAAACTAAGCGAAATAAAGGCAAAAGCTAACAATATCATTGAAAATTTACAATTTTTGGATGCGGCAAGCAATGCGTCACCAAACGATTTCGATTTGGAGCTAGCTCGTCAATTGCAAAGACAAACCACAAATTTATTAGCGGAACTATCAGAAATACCCTGCGAGAAACTAGCTCGGACTCAATTGCAGCGTAGACAAAGACGCCAAAGGACCAAAAAGAAGCTCAAGCTGCAAATTAAGCTCAATAGGCCCATTTCCAAGGCAGCTAAAGTAACCGAATCACTACCCACAGGGAATGCCGCCGATGAGGAAAACTTGGCAGCCCCTAAGCAAGCCGAACATATAACGCTAAAAAAACATCACGATTCGTCCAACATTCTGTACACATTAGACTTGCTGGAGAGATTGTACAAGGCGCGTGGCGGCAAGGGCAACTTGAGTGAAAAACTAGTCAGAATGCGAACAGTTTGGCGGCGTGTGCAGCAGGAGAGCATTAATGCGATCAATCAAGAAATGCCCACCAACTGTGAGGCGCAATGGTCCAAAGCTATATTTGGAATCTCTTCAATACCCTTAAAACAGGGATCATTAAAGAGCCGACGCAATATACATAATAATACACAATTTGTAGAACGGCGGTAAGCTTGCTATTAGCCTCAGATGGTTACCTTAATATATAAATTCATTTTACAGTGCAATTTGGGACTCGTATATAAGTTCAGGCAATGTTGGCAGCAGCATACCACATGGATGGGTATTGCCTAAGGAAAAGCCATCAGCTGAATGGGCCAAATACTTGTGCGAATAAAACATGAACAAATATTAATATTTATATAATGTGGAATTTTTATTCTTTAAAAGAACTGCATTAGGCCCTAGTGAGTAGCAAACAGATTGCATTTGGAATCTATTCGTAAATCCAGTCCTTGGCTGCTGGGGTCCAGGTGACAAGCTCCTTTTCGTTGAACCAGAGAGCGATTTCCTTTTCGGCTGATTCAACAGCGTCGGAGCCGTGGATGATATTGCGGCCGACTTGAATACAGAAATCACCACGGATGGTACCGGGCAAGGAGTCAGCTGGGTTGGTAGCGCCCAACATTTGACGGCCGGTCTTTACCACATTTAAACCCTCCCACACCATGGGAACCACTGGACCGGAGCTCATGTAGTTGACCAAACCGGGGAAGAAGGGACGGGCAGACAGATCAGCATAGTGCTTCTCCAACAATTCTTTTTGAGCCTGTAATCAAATATGATGAACAAATTAATATCATACTAATGGATATCTAACATCCTCATGACCTCTAAAATTATATGCGTATATAGAATACATATAACCTCAACCGGTCATTTTCAATATCAGCAAGGGTAACCCGTTCGCGTGTTGAGGTTAAACACGAATACTGAACACGCGTACCTATTGATTTCTTAATTCAATTAGGCTGCCGGCTTTACTCACCCACATGAACTTCATTGCTACCAATTTGAAGCCCTTCTGCTCAAAACGCTCGATGATTTTGCCGACAAGTCCTCTTTGGACTCCATCGGGCTTCACCATGATGAAAGTGCGTTCCTTGTTGGCGGCCATTGCGTATGAGAATAGGGAATAAAATGCCAAGAGCGAACCAATCATCAGTGTTGAGTTTTTCATTGGAGAAGTGTGCCCATATTGGGAAAACATGAATATACCAAACAACTAGTGTAAGCAAGAATTTATATTATTTAAACTTTTATTAAAGTTAATTAAAGCTATAGCTATTACATAATAGTATAATTTACTAGTCATTAAATATAATATAACTAATGTAAATTATTTGATTACTTGATTCTGAGCGCATGGAACTTGTTCAATTGAGTATATCGGTAGTTCTTATTTATTGTGAACGTTTCACCCATCTCTATCGTAAACTTAAATTTCCAAAAAATAATTTTAAGTGATTGAATTTAGAATGGTAAATATTTTAAATATTAAGTAAATATATTAAACTAAATGACATTATTCTTTAGTTTTCATTGTTGCACAAAGAGGAGAATGCACATGACAACGCGCTATGGGCATGCGCCTGGGGACGCGTCCCAGAGCCGGCAACTGAAGATGTGAGCGCAGTACAAGAGGAAGAGAATCCATTTAATTTTGAGAAAAAGGAGAAGAAACCAACTGATTTCATAGTGACCGGGGGTCTGGACGATCTGGTCAAAGTATGGGATATACGTGAAGATAACACCTTGGAACTACGACACAAGCTAAAAGGTCATGCCCTTGGTGTGGTCTCTGTTGCCGTGAGCTCCGATGGTCAAAGTATGAAGCGCTAGCTCATTTAATTATTAATTAAGCTATAATTCAGAAAATATGATTTGACAGCCATTGCCAGCAGCTCGCTGGACTCTAGCATGTGCCTGTGGGATGCCAAAACTGGCGATAAGAAACATATGCTAACATTTGGCCCCGTAGATTTGTGGACTGTAGGGTTTTCGCCATGCAACAAGTATGTCATATCTGGCCTTAACGATGGCAAGATTTCAATGTACAGCGTGGAGACTGGTAAAACGGAACAGGTGCTGGACGCCCAGAATGGAAAATACACGTTAAGCATTGCATATGTGGGTAATAGAGATATTTCAGAATTGTACAGAAATTAAATTATTCCAAATGTAGAGTCCTGATGGTAAATACATTGCAAACGGTGCAATCGATGGCATCATTACCATATTCGATGTGGCTGCTGGCAAAGTGGCCCAAACTCTGGAGGGTCATGCCATGCCTGTACGCAGTCTCTGCTTCTCGCCAAACTCACAAATGCTGCTCACGGGCTCTGACGATGGACACATGAAGCTCTACGATGTGTAAGTTGTCGGCTTTTAGTAAATCAAAGTTTATTGTATATCTATTTAAAATTCTAGTGCACATTCCGATGTGGTAGGCACACTGTCTGGCCACGCCTCTTGGGTGCTGTGTGTATCCTTTTCGGAGGATGGCAAGCACTTTGCCAGCTCGTCTAGTGATCGCAGCGTTAAAATCTGGGATACATCGGAGCGCAAATGTATTCATACCTTTACCGAGCACTCTGACCAAGTGTGGGGTGTACGGTACAGCCCGAGCAACGATAAAGTAATATCTGCTTCAGAAGACAAGTCATTGAACATTTATTACTGTCCACCGAACGCTATCGTGTGATACAAAAAAAGCGTCAATGCAATTTGTACAATAAAATATAGGTTTAATTTAATAACAAGCATTTTAACTATGGAGACTGTCGATTCAATCGCTACATAAATTTTGCTATTCTATTCTGTACTTGGCTTTTCTTGAATCTGTTTTTGAATAGATTGCGTCAGCAATTTGTCCTTATACTTTTGGTCAGGTATATGTATGTTAAACGTCTTGAAGTAGTACAGAATATTTGCTGTAAGTAAAATCAATTAGCTCTATATTCAAGATTAAGATATTTAAACCTACCAACATGCGGCTCTTTTAGCTTGTATTGATCTGCTATTTTACTGGCCGTCCACTCTTCGGAATCTTGCTGATGGTCGTTGATAAACTGCATCGCCTGTCGTAAAGTGCAACGTCCACTTGATACTTTCGTTGGCTCCATGTAGCCATACTCAAAGTCAGTCGGCGTGGTTCTGTCCAATGGTAGCGGTCTGTCAGCTCCTTGGCGTTGCACTACTCGTTGAATCTGAATACAGTATTTGGATTATAATTAATATATTACGCGATATATTTGCTTCTCGTTTAACCCACAAATTGATCCTTTGATGTTACATAAACATCTTTTAGTCGTGTATCCAAGCTAGCGTCCTTTGTGTTTAGTTTGTTCACGAAGTCGGGATCCACTAAAATTCCAAGCAATAAAGCAATATTAGTAAAACCGTTTATTACAGCTGCATAAACTGCTTACACTCCAAAGTTCTTTCCATGTCACGCAGATTCGACTCGTATTTTGGTGCCGGTGTGGGCTTCTCGCGTTCCAGTACGCGATGTGCCCGATTCTCCACATTAAATCGATTGGCCTTGCGAGCCACCATAGACATGACTTTTCCCATTTCGTGTTTGTTTTTATTTTAATTAACAATTATACTAAAATTATCGACTTATTGCCACAACAATCAAGCATTTAGAAATTGGTTGCAATTTGTAAACATAACCAACAAAAGCAGTGCTGTAAAACAGACAAAGACAGTGCTGTACAATGCTTTCGAGGAGTGAGTGCTGTAAACATAAACAAACCATTTGTACACCGCAGAGAAGAGCTACTATTACTTATTATTTAATTTAAAAACAGAAAAGTTAACAAAATGATGTCCCTGCGTCGCAGCTTCACGCTGTGCAACGCGAGAAATATTCAACGGCTGAGCAGCTGCTATCAAAGCACCAAGTCCAAGCGGGCCGTGCAGGCGGAGCGGGTTGCACGTTATAGCGGCGAATTTCCAGAGAAGCTGCTGAGCAAGAAGCAGAAAAGCGTTTCTCACATGTATGTGGCCAACGCGCAAATAGCAGAACAGATCAACGATTATTTGGAGCCGCATCTGCGGCAAACCAAATGTGATACTGTAATGGAGCTGAATCCCGGACCGGGTCATTTCACGCGGCATTTACTCGATCGGGAAACACAGTTTCGTAAGATCATTCTGATGGAATCAATGGAATACTTTATGCCGCGACTACAGGAACTGCATGCATTGTATCCGGAGCGCGTGAAGGTCCGTTATGGTGATTTTATTGCTCTATGGAAGCTGGCTTATATGGACAAAATAGATAGTGGGACACGTCTGCTCGATATGTTAAGCGATGTGCCCCGAACCTCATTCAATGACGGTAAGAGATTTCGATTAGACTAATACATTGCAAAGAGATATAAATCTTGCTCCCTCTGCACAGATATTAACATGCTGGTTTTTGGTGCCGTGGGTTCATATGCGTTCTTCAAGCATCTGATCAACTCGCTGATATTCCAGATTAGCCTCTACAACTTGGGTCGCTGTGAGATGATTCTAGCAATGCCGCCGCCCATTTATATTGTGAGTATATACGATCTCCATATTGATTTCATTTGCTTATTAATATTTACTATTACAGCACCTGACTTGCTCGAACAAGATCGGTTATCTAATCTATCGCTCAGCCTCAGTGCTATTTCAAATACTGTTTGAGCATCGTTTTATAGCCAAGGTTCCTCGCGAGACTTTCCTGCCCGTGCAGGCCGACTATAATCTGTCTAGAAGCAGTAAGTTGGCCAAGGTCAAGTCAATCAATCCGGAGTATTTGTATTTGGTTAAATTTGTGCCTCGTCGTAATCTGCATGAAATATGTCCAGTTCAAGATCTGCCTGCCCTATGGTTTTTTATAAAGCAGAATTTCGTCAGTCGACGGAATCGTATCATACCTAATCTGGAGTAAGTAAACTGGAAAGCATTGGCACGTTGTGTTTTTACTAGTTCAATGTCTTTTAGAAAATGGGTACCTGGCTGTGGACCAAGGCTGATAATCAATCAAAATGCTCCAGAAAGAGTCAGGCCTATTTACGAAGATGAATCTGTTAAGCGTTTGCCTCCCTTTTCGATGCAGAGTACCACCATGAGTACACGAGACTATTATCCCGGCATTAATATATATACGCAGTTTGGCGATCTGACACCAAGTCAAATGCTCACGTTATTTGCACAATTTCGCCAATGGCCTGAATATAGCGAGAGTTCGTTCCTTGCTTCCATGGAGAATACATTGCTTAAGATGGAGTCGGTAAACGATGAACAAGGCATAGAGGATGGTGTTAATCTAGTCGAAGAGGATGACATTAGCACCGAAGGTGTGGATGAAGTACTTGAGGCCACCGGTGAGCCAGCTCCAGAGCCACCAAAGAGTAGTAGAAAAACTAAATCAACAACTTAAATTCTATAACAGCTGGATTTACACATGTACATATTTAAGTAGTTGTTATTGTTGCTTTAAGCTAAAATGTTTTAAATTCATGTTAAGTATTTTATTGACCTGACCCACTTTCATGGAGTAGCCGTGCAGCGGCCTTGAGCAAATAGCCGGCTTCCGCGCCCACATTTCTTCGCCAAGTCAATGTGGTATTCTGGCGGAGCAACTGAGTTGTTGGGCTCGTCTAAGGATATGCGCGTTTCCAGCTGAGTCGAGAGCTGCACACAATCCACCATGAGAGTTCTTGGATTAACGCCCAGCACATAGGTGTATTCCTTTTTGGGACAGGGATTTTTACTTTGATTCATGCTGCCGAACTCGAAGCACGTGTCGCGTATCAGAAAATGGCCATCCTGCCGACATGGATTATTAACGCATTCGGGTATAACTTTCTCTTTGTACAATACTAATATCTGGCTATCGTTACACGGCCCTTGCCTATATGCTGGATAACAGGCATCGCTTTCTGGATGATAAAGAGCCGCTGGTCATGTAAAATACACGTTTTAAATAATTGTTATTAATATTATGTCATCGCTATATTAATGGACACATATGTACCTGGTGCGCAATCGCATATCCAGTCATTCAGCTGATCTCCAGGGTAAAGAAGCTGGTAGCGGGCGCAGCGAGCGGGCGAGTATAGCGGCTTGCGACCCTAGAGTAAGAGCAAGAAAGAGAGAGAGAGAGAGAGTGTGTTGAGTCTAAATCTCATTTGTTTGATGCAAGTTTTATTTGTCTTATCAGCTGTTGAGGTCTTGTTGGATCGCTTACCTCCAGATTACTTTTCTGCTTATCAATGTCAGCATCCTCTACATACGCAACTTGAGCACAGCTTAATCCAATGATAACCGTGAATAAACCATAAAATAACACAAAATGCCACTGGAACATGATCGTTTTTATTTTAACTTTTTATGCAAATTAAAATGCCTCTGTTAATGAGCTTTGGCGGGAACGCTTTATGAAACCTCGAGCTTTGGTAAAATTTCGAATCCGACGTCCATTCGCAACAGCACAATGCATAACACTGAGTTGAGGCTGGGGAGCTCAGAGAAATAGCTCCAAAGCTGAGCTCCATTCATTCAGTATTCACTCAGTACACATGTTAAAGATAATGTTAAAGAGTCAGTGTATATGTCCGAAATGTTATTACTCGCGAGAGTTGACAGCCTACTGTATAGAATTACGCACCGCTAGCAAAATCATATGGACAAGTTCAGTTTGTATAAAAATACCACAATATTATTTTGAAATAATCGCTAAATTTTTAATATTTTTCCTATCCCCAATTAACAATAATGCGGTGTATCTAAACAAATTCCAAAAAAAGGCTGTCATTCGGTGTGGTAGCATACTTGGCAACTCTGTCATTATACCTTCAGCTGTATCTTTGTATACATATCAATAACACAGAAAGCAGCAGAAAAATCTAAAAATTTTATTTTTCCAACGTTCAAACATACACAAATTATACTGAATATCCGCAAAAATGGATGATGAAGAGACTGCAGGTAGGTGAAGGGAAATTTGACGTAGTTAAGGAAACTTATAAATGTGAGTTTGCTCAATGCGCAGAAATCGATGAGACCAGCTCATCCAGCACAAATACAAATACAAATGCAACTGCTATGGCAACGGCAACGGAAACTGCAGCTGAAATGCATGTTGAGTTAGAACAAGACGAGGAAATTCCACAAGGCAGCGAAAACGGAGCTGGAACTGGGGCTGGGGATGGAACTAGGGCTGAAGCTGGAGCTAGTGCAATTCATGCCGAGACAACGGCGCATGTGAGTAGTCGTGCGAGGCTTGAGAATATGATTGAGGAAGTGGATAATATGTTCGAGGAGGTGAGTGAGCTGATGGTCGATGTCACAGAGCTAATGCGCCGCGCCAACCAACTAAGGGAAGATGCTGGAACGGGTGCAGTTCCGCAAAATCCAACTGTGGCCACAAACACAACTCCTCCCGCTGAGATTGAGGAGGAGGAGGAGGGCCCGGAACAGCAAGCAGAACAGGCCTTGGTGAACAACGACAGTCCAAGTCAGGCTAGCATCAGCTCTAGGCACAGCGGGAGTGATATGTCCCTGGACAGTCCAGGCAGCGAAGGTTAGTCGGATGTCATTACAAGACAAAATCTAATTGTATTTCCTATTAAACATTGATGCAGATGACTCGGATGCGGAGGCAGTGCCACGTTGGATGATCCCGGCGAATCGTGTCCGTTCAGCGGTGGATATGTTGGTGTCGCAGGCTCGTAATCGTGATGGAGGTATTGCAACACTGTTGCGACGTGAAAACTTTTTACAGCGCGTGCGTAGCATGGTTTTTAGCCAGGATCGCATTCGTGGCAGGGCGAGCGATGATGCTAACAACGCTGATGTGATCAATACTGTTCCAGATGATACATCCGAAGCATCGCCGCCGCCACCCTTGGACGTTGACATGGAAGAGGGAGTACGTTTTGACACAAATCTGCCGGCAGAACATTCATATTTCGGTACGAATCTAAATCGTGTTCCCGGCGTGGACTACTTGGAAGTGGGCAGCACACATCGTATGCTGATATTCATGCACCAGCATATACTCTTCCCTGGCGAGGTGCTGCCCTTCATGATCGACGGCAACATTATTGACGAAGAAATCGAAGATACCGGACGAGATGGTGTGATCTTCGGCGTTGGCTTTCCGCTGATGCAGCCGCCTGACGACAACCCCCACAAGCTCTACGGCGTCACCTGTCAGATCTATGAGAAAGGCGAGAGTGGACGCCAGCATGTGTTTTACAAGTCACGCGCCTTGCAACGCATCGTCATAAACTGCGATGATATACAAGGGTGAGAATAATAGGCAAACGCTGGAGCTAGGTATATTTTCTTGTTAATCTTCACATTTCTACTGTAGGCCGCCCCAGTACATTGCAAGGAATCCGACAATGAAGTGCTATAGCAAGGTTAAAATATTGCCAGAGTACTTTCTGCCCGAGCCGCTTAAATGCATTGATATGGGCTCCTTGAATCGTTTTCGTGATATACCATCCATGCAGGAGAAATTTCGTCGTTTTCAACTAACCACAACGCCCTGGCCTGTCGAGGCTTGTGGGGAATACTCATTTGAACACATTGTGGAGAAGGCACGTCAAAAGCTGGAGATACATAAAATAGATACCATGCCAAAGTGCCCCATACAATTGTCGTTTTGGCTTGTGCGCAATTTGCATCTCACAGAAAAAATGATGCGCTTGACGTTTCTCACAGATTCTGTAAATATAAGACTGCAGATTATTGGCACCACCTTGAAGCACGAGTCGCTCTTCTATTGCCGTTACTGCAACAGTAGTCTGGCCTATTGCTCCGATCTATTTGCCATGTCTAAGCATGGCGTACAAACACAATATTGCAATTCAGGTTAGCTAATATATCGATGGAGTGTATCTATAACTGATGTGTTTTACTTTAATTCCAGCTGGCTATATACATGAGACAAACACAGTGTATAGGGTCATCGCGCATGCAATTGGTTATAGCGGAGAGCCATCCACCGAGTTTAGTTGGTTCCCCGGCTACCAGTGGCATATTATTATATGCAAGTTTTGTGCACAACATGTGGGCTGGGAGTTTAAGGCAGTTGAACCCAATTTGGCCCCCAAAGTGTTCTTTGGTCTGGCTGGGTCCAGCGTTCGCATTGGTAAAACCAGCGAACGTACCCCAACGCATGGCAGCAGATTTGTTGTACGCAATTTATTACGTCTTGTTTCTAGAGAACTGGAATGAGGCTGGCGGCTGGTGAAACGTATTGGCAGCTTCTGTGGTTGCTGTTGTCGTCGATGTCGACGATCTGATGGACCCGCATAATCTCTAAAGCTAAAATGTAGAGCATTCAAATTCGTTTCACTATCGCGTCTAAATACTTATACATTAGGAATGCAAAAGTCATTGTCTTCAGTAATGGACAGGATTGTACACGTGCAAACATTAAGATTGATTTACCAACTTATATTAAAGCTAATTCATATTTAAGATATTGGCGTGATTAATGTATTACTCTTTATTTTTTTAAATTTAAATAATTGTTGTATTCTACGTAGATACATATATATTCATTAAAATCCGAATACATATGCGAATTTCTGTGGAATGGATTTCATTTAGTCCTTGAGTAGCACCGCAAAGGATGTGGATAGCTTCTGAAAGGTTAAACAGAGTCTAATTTCTATATATCTATTACAATATTTATAGGTAAATACTTACGGCTTTGCAAAACGGACACTGGCCAAAGGATACTTCGAGAAATGTTTTGCCTTCGACCAGCGTATCGAACCATTCCTTCAGACAAGATGCATGGCACTTCAGCACACATCGAGAATTATCACAGGAGACAAGAGGCACCTCACCGTTGTCCAGTCGATACTCGAAGCATATATTGCAACGCTGCTGTTGGTCGTCATATTTCTTCAGATCAATCTCAGCGGGCATAGGAAAGTAACACAAGTCGAATATGTGCAAGAGATTCTTGTGCAAGTCCAGCTCAATATCCCAATTGCCGAGTCCATCGCTTAGCACGTGCCGTAGATGTGCCACCTCTTCGGTGGGTCCTATGATTTGCACGGCCATGGAGGCATAGCTGGCAAATGGATCGGCTATAGTTAGCTTGAGATATACACGCTCTTTGAGTGGAAATACACGTGTGTTATCCTTGGTAGTAATTGGACACGGTTGCAGCACATCGCACAGCTCATCAATACTTGAGAAACTGTCATAGAACGGGCGCAACTCATCCAACATCTTAAGATATAGATGCAAGATGTCGGTGAGAGAGCGAGAGCTATTTTCCAAAATATCTTCTAGTTGAATGCACTCGGGGAGACTGTGTGCTATTAAACGCAACGACGGCAACTCCAATTCCAAATAATGTGCTTCATGCTCGGTAAAACCACAGAAGCGTATTCTCGTGTATCTATCATTCAATTGCAGACGATATTCTTGCGGATTGTGCAAATCCAGTATCTCAGTATATATATTACTTTTATGTTGATTTGAACTAACATCCAAAATGGGTTCTCTGGGTATAAGCTGTACAATATGCAGTAGCAGATCATCAAGTTGCCAATTCGTCTGGATCTGTATATTTTCGGTTGTATAGCGTTTATATTCCAAGTGCTCTTGTACGCTCAATTGAAAGTCGCGCAGTTCTGGAAAATGTGGTAAATAGAGTTTTAGTCGTATCCATTTAGAATTTATATACACAACTCCGCTAAGAACTACGGCGTTATTTTTTTTTCGCTCAAAATATAAGCCGGGATATTTTAGTGCAAACTGCCGCTTTAAATTAGTCTGGTCCATATTAATTTTAAATTTTATTTGTTTTTTATTTATTTTAAATTATTGTAAGCGAGCGACAGTGGCGTCAAAAAAAGTATGACCGTGTTTGGCGCCAACCAATCGATAAGTTCGGAATGATGTGGGGGTTGGTCGATAGTCAGCCTACTGTTTCGATAACCATGTTAGGCATTTGTCTGGCAATTTCAAATCTTTGCTAATCTGGTCGATTCACGTAATATGAGTAAGAAATAGTTTACGCATTTGATCAGATGTGCCGGCTGTATTTACTCACACTTTACCCTAATCAAAAACGTTTCCCAACTATCTCAACGGTTCACTAATAGCTGCTCATTGGCACTAAGTAGCTGTTTGGACTTATCAGTCTAATTTTATATTATTTACTGATTTTGACGAAACCCGGACGGGCGTACACCTGCAGACTACATTGTATGTTCATCATTATCATTATCATTATGCCTATGGTTTTTTATTCTTCCCCATCTACTTTTTTTTAACACCTGGCCATCGATAGCAATCTGCGTCGCGTTTGATAAACCTCACACAACTTGACCATCAGTCCTAAACATTTGCTATTTAATGTTCCCTCATTGAGCCACCAGCTTCATTCACTGCTTATAACTGCTGGCGGTTTTGTGTTGTAGAGCCTGCAGAAGCTTGTCAAACTACAATTTATTTCCAATTTTCTCACAATGTTTCGTGTTGCTTTCCTGACACTTGCGTACCTGTGCATCACCTGCGGCGCTACACCAGTCAAAGAATGTAAGTTAATTAAATAAAGCAGGAGCAAATTTGCGTTGAAAGATTCTATTTATTTGGATTTTGTGTAAACATTTGAAAATTTATATAATTTAATATTTCTGTTAGGTTCGAACTTTCATCAGACTACACTTATTGAAATAACAGAAGAATACGGTTATAACGACTCCGCTTATAGCGTCTGGCTCCCAGACAAACTTATATGACCAAACTTATACGGTTATAGGGTCTTCTGGGTATAACGATGGTTATATGGGCGTTGTTATAATCTTATTCTACTGTATTTTCAAAACTAAACAACTTTTAAAACCATTTGTTTTTAACTAGTTTTTTTAAAGCCACTAATCAGTGTGACTGTATTAGTCACAACCTCACTTTATACATTAGAGCGTTACTAATTATTGTCTTTATAGTCTTTTTGATTAAAAAATATATATAAAAAATGTAGAATATTATTAAATGTTTATAACAAACAATTAAATGTGGCCAGTGCTCATGTACTCGTAGCGTACATGTGCTTAAAGCAATTCCGCCGAACTTTGCATTTTTGTTGCTGATAAACAAATACGTTTTCATGCAATGAATCCAATTAAAATCAGAATGTATATAATATTGCGAGTATATGCATATATATGCATATAACTGTCAATTCAATATATGACTTAACTTTTGATAACGCTTATCGCATAGGGAATGAAAAGCTTTCAGTGCACAATAAAAACTATAGCATACTTTAAAGAGCCGTACTGAATTTTCTTGCTTTGCAGGTCCAAATAAACCAGCTCCACTTAGCGTTGACATTCAAGACTGCCCGGAGCCGCCCTGTGTCGTCTACAAAGGTCAATTTGCTATTATGGATGTACAATTCTTGGGTGGTAAGTAAGATTTCCCCATATTCTTTACACAAAGTAATTGCACCCCTATCCGTTACACAGACAAAAACAATATTGCGAGCATTACGGCAAAAGTACAAGCAAGAGCATTCGGCATGAATTTACCTTACGATCTGCCCGAGGAAATATCCAATGTGTGCATAAATCTATTGTATGGAGCCATGTGCCCCATTTACAAGGACGAGGATGTTACGTACAGGTTCAATTTTTATGTGGAGCCCTTCTTTCCCGAAATTACGGCCGACGTCACTGTTACACTGAACGATGCCGATGACAATCCGATTAGCTGCTTTATGGTCAGCTGTAAGCTCCGCAAAGGCCCATCATCGCGACTCGAGCTAGAAGCGATTGATGGCGATACGTTGATTGAATAGAGCCGTTGTACTATACTACGCGACACTCGTGGACTAACTGATTTGACCGTTTGGTCTTTTCAAATAAATATTGAATGCTTAACTTTGTTTACCACAGTCGACGTCATGGTTTCTTTTCGCCTTCCAGTGCACCGCCTAATCGGCTCACCTGATAAAGAATTTTGGTGTGTTTGATGACGTTGTGATTTGCACTCAAATTATAAATTAATATTAATTGCCTGGGTAACTCAAATGCTAATAAAATCAGCATTGATAATCATTTATTGACCGGCAGCAAGCTTCATGAATTGGTCATATGGTGCTACTCGAATGTGCTTGATATAATGGCTACGAATTTGATTGAGTGCAAAACAACACTGAACGAAATTAGAGAAGATTTTAATTCATTAATTAATTACTTAATTTGTCTATAAATTTCGATGAGTATAATTAAATTAGTATTTGAAGTGAGAGATGTTATTTTTTTAAATATTAAATTGGTTTATTAAACACATACACAAATTGTGAACTATTTAAAAACTAATGGAAGCTAAATAGTTATAAAGTACCAAATTGTATAAAAGTATTGAAAATTTTCTAATTTGTAGATCCACAAGGCTGTATTTATAGAGAGATCAATAATTCATTTAATAGGCCGAGGTATAAAGACTGGGGAGCTTGTTTGAAGAGTTCTTTCTCATATATCATAATTTTTAAATTATCTCTATAAGTAAATTATGAAATAGCTGTTAAGCCCTAAAATTCTTTTACGTCGGTAAGTTATTTAAATAATTTTTAAATTATTAAATAATAAATATTTTTCTTTAAAGTTCTTTTGTTATATAAGTTGAATAATAAAATTAGCTTTTTATTCATTATTATTATATATATAAATTGCATTTTAATATTTAAATTGCATTTTAATATAAGTTAATCGCTAGAAATTCCAGTATGCCCTTAATAGGTATGAATTTTGCACAGTGTGTGATGATTCTCCCACTTGAAGTGTACTTGATAAGGTCGACAGTCAATCAACGCCTTTTGCTACTGATAGCCTCTGGGTACATTTCTCTGTTCGGCCTTCACGTTTCTATTCCAGTGGTTGGGAACCAATGCGCGAACAGGTGTGCTGCGCTAGCTTATCAATGTTTAGTATTACGTTTATTAAGACTCAATACACTTGAATACACTTTTGGAGTACGTCGAACTTTTATGAACCATTGCACTTAAATCTTTATTGATTAAGTTTATGGCAATTTAATGTCTTCAGTATGATGCAGCGAACTATTAATGAAAACAATTGTCTTTACCATATTAAACTTTTATTTACGATTAAAAAAAAAAACATCATAGTATTAATATGCCGATATATAAATGGGTTTAATATAGAATATTTTTTTAGTTCAGATAGTTGAGCTCGTAGCGAGTGCTGCCTGGCCCTTTCTTCACTTTAATATCGCAGACAAAGCAGGTGGCTATATCTTTATCCTGATCCACCAAATAGATTTCAATTTTGACACCAACCTCGGGATAATCTCCAATTGGGAACTTAAACAAATAGGTAACATCCTCGGTGGGATACAGCGGACAGTAAGCGCCATACATGAGATTTGGACAGACGGCGGCTACATCTGGGGGCAGCTCGTAGGGAACTGTTATAAAGCCCAGTGTGGTGGCCTTCACAAGGGTTGTCAGCTGCGTTATATACTTGTCGACAGCAAAATCTATTTCAAATGATTGCGTTGTTCCCTTGATGATGTTGCACGGCGGGACCACACATCCAGCGACACGCACCTCCAGCGGAAAGGGCTTATTGCCCGAGCCTAGAAATCGAATAGATAATTCACAAATATAACTTATATTTATATTATAGAGTAAATAATAATGGTAACCTACAGCGCTTGACTTCGGTGGCGGGCAATTTCTCCTCGGCCTGGATCCCATTCAGAAAAAAAATGACAAGCAAAATGCTTAGACTGATGAGCACTCTCTGTTGCATTTTGTATTGTTTTATTTCAAGAACTAAATTAATATTTAGCAATTAGTTAGAAAAACTTCGTTTTTATAGTCACAACACATGAGCTCTAAGTGAGTGAGTGAATCGCTTTGGTTATCTTATCAAGTGAAGGCGTTTCTAATTTGTGAACAAAACAATTTGGTTTGTCAGCTCTTGAGCACTTTTTGTTCAAAGGAACACCAATCATTGCGAAGCTAAATTTACTCATGCGAGTATAATGAATATAATAAATTTAGATATAAATATGCTAGTATATATAAATATATATATGTATACCTATACATAGACTTTACTAAGCTAAACAGCTTTCTCATACGAACTAAATTTGTGTGCCATGTGATTGCTCTAAAATTTCTTTTAAACTGGCACTCTATGCACATTAATTATTTAAGGGAAGGATTTTTAAATGTGTGTCTCAGATTTGAAAAGCTTTTTATATATTTTCTTTGAGCGCGAACGAGAGAACGAAAATAGAGACTCTAAGTAAGGCACAATATAGATGTTTTAATATATACATATGTTTTATAAACTACTCTGGTCAGCTTAAGAGACCAATTTAAAAATACTTGTTAGTGCATTGCGAATGACACGAAACATCGTTGTCCCAAGCACCGCGTGGAATACAAAGCCAGTGCGAAATAAATCCTTGAACAGAAAAAATCAGACGACCAAGCTTACTGAGAAATGCACAAAGCATTTATATATTTATATATAGATATATATATTCCCATTTATATGAAATGAAACCCAGAAACAGAAACATTTGTACTGCAGCCAAAGCCATTGTCAATGAAACTTCAAATAAAAATAAAAAATTACACGAAACCGACTAAAAGTAAGCTGAAAAATATAATTTTTCCGACGTACAGTGAAAATTCGCCAGCGGTAAGTGTGCGAGGTGCTCTCATAAAGTTTATCCAATGAATAAAATAAATGAAATGACAAATTTGAATTTGTGGTAGCTTTGAGAAATGAGAAATTCGTTTATGAGAACATGATATGGAATAAACTTATTATCTAATGTTTCAGTATGGATTAGCTCTCAGCTCGTAGATCATTCGTTCTGATTTAGTCTAGATTGATTCTGTGTCAATTCAACTTCGTCTCGATTTAGTCTGCATTCAGTTACACTTATGGCAGCCTCTGATACAAAAATTCACCTAACAGCCCTCGGAAAAACATTTTTTCGCAAATAGAAAAAAAAGGTCGAAAAATCTCGTAATGCTACGGCGGGTGGTGGTTGAGTCTGTGGGTTGACATGTGGCCAGCGCAGCATGAGATTTTCGCATACATGCTGCTGAAATCTGTAAGTCTTGTCCCCAGCTCTCGACCTCTTCCGTATCTTCTGCCCTACCACCTGGACGCCTTCTGCTTGATGTCACATACTGCACAGTTGTAATTGTTGTGGCATTATTTAATATGTCAAAGCAATGGCAAAATCCTATACAAAATGTCCTCATACTGTACTCTCCTGTGTATGTGCGTGTGTGTATATGTCACGGCTTTTAGCTTCTTATTTTGCGAATGGGACCGCAATATTTGATTAACATCAAGCGCCTGGCATTGATTTCTGTCGTACTTAGGTACATATAGATTTGTATGCATGTGTATATGTATGTATATACACGAGATTCTCTATTTTCAGTCCCATCTAATAAAATTATCTGAGCCGGAAAATCTGAGCAGGGCGACCGGGCGGCATACTTTCACAGTCTCAGCATTACTTACCCCATTTGCCATTTCCGTTTGCACTTTTCTGCCGGTTTATTTTTGGATGCTTTCCCTTTGCATTCTGCCTCCTGTTTTTTGCATATTCCCCAAAGTATTACCTGGCTCTTTTCACTATCCGCTTCCCTCGAGCTTAGCTGATGTACTGCCTTTTGAAATCGATAATGCGTGTCGTCTCTTTATTTTCAGTTATTTAGGTTATTTATGTCATTTGGATTAATGATTTAGCGAATGCAACAAGGAATATCTTTGATAATTCGCTGCATACTTTTATGCGCCAAGTGGAGATACAGATACAGATACAGATACAAATACAAATACAAATACAGATACAGATACAGATACAGATACAGATACAGATACAGATACAGATACAGATACAGATACAGATACAGATACAGATACAGATACAGATACAGATACAGATACAGATACAGATACAGATACAGATACAGATACAGATACAGATACAGATACAGATACAGATACAGATACAGATACAGATACAGATACAGATACATAGATAGATATAGATAGATAGATAGATAGATATAGATATAGATATAGATATAGATATAGATATAGATATAGATATAGATATAGATATAGATATAGATATAGATATAGATATAGATATAGATATAGATATAGATATAGATATAGATATAGATATAGATATAGATATAGATATAGATATAGATATAGATATAGATATAGATATAGATATAGATATAGATATAGATATAGATATAGATATAGATATAGATATAGATATAGATATAGATATAGATATAGATATAGATATAGATATAGATATAGATATAGATATAGATAGATATAGATATAGATATAGATATAGATATAGATATAGATATAGATATAGATATAGATATAGATATAGATATAGATATAGATATAGATATAGATATAGATATAGATATAGATATAGATATAGATATAGATATAGATATAGATATAGATATAGATATAGATATAGATATAGATATAGATATAGATATAGATATAGATATAGATATAGATATAGATATAGATATAGATATAGATATAGATATAGATATAGATATAGATATAGATATAGATATAGATATAGATATAGATATAGATATAGATATAGATATAGATATAGATATAGATATAGATATAGATATAGATATAGATATAGATATAGATATAGATATAGATATAGATATAGATATAGATATAGATATAGATATAGATATAGATATAGATATAGATATATAGATATAGATATAGATATAGATATAGATATAGATATAGATATAGATATAGATATAGATATAGATACAGATACAGATACAGATACAGACACAGATTCGGTTGCCGATGCAGA